AGTGCATTTTTAGGATGATCCGAAAGTCATTTAAACCAAAAAAATCATTTAACTCGAAAGGTGAGGTGCGAATAATTTATGGTTTTAATGGAAGAGAAGCGAACAATAATAATAATTAATCAGTGTGTGAGATGGCCAGATGGGGGACGCCAATGTTGTCATGTTTTGATCAGTCAAGATCAAGAAATTAATACGATTCATCCCTTGAAAGGGACCCTTTTGAAAATTTCTAGTGTCAACAAAATTTTGTGGTATAGTTATAATCTAACAATAATTGGAACCCATTTCGTTACAGCATAATTCCACATTGCAACCAAAGGTTTTCAGGGTTGGAATGGGATCAAGACATATATGACTAAGGATCCTCTCTCACTATATATATAAATATATTATATTATATTATTAATTAATTACTTAGTATTATAAGATTTTAAATTTCTATCCTTCAACCCAAGCACTTACTAATAGAGATGAAGATGAGTTAAATTAGAATCACAAAGGATATATATGAAAAAATGTGTAAATATTGATATAAATTTTATTATTTTTTATTTAAAAATATAAAATTTTTAAAATTTTAAATTAAACAGTAAATTTTTATTTTTTTCTTATTTAAGAATATAAATTTTGTTATTTTTCTATTTAAGGATATGAGTTTTGCTCTATTTTGATTAAAATTATTATTTGACATGTTATCACCATTTACTAAATTTTTAAATAAAAAATGATAAAATTCATATATTTAAATAAAAATAAAAGTTTACATGCTAATTTAAAACATTAAAAAGTTTTTATCTTTAAATAAAAAAAATTACAAAATTTATATTTTTATCTACACATTTTTTCAATATATTAGAATTTGAATGAAAAAAAATGTACATTTTCCTAACTCGACTTGATCGTTTTTATTTTGGGGATCTTTCTTTTTTTTTAAAAAAAAAAAAAAACCAGTTAGATGACTCCTATCTATGAAAAAATTAAGATTATATTTAGAATGATTTTGATTTTAAGTTTTTAGTTTTTATATTCATAAATTTAGCAACTAATATTTTATTTAAATTAAATTTATTAAATTCAAATTTTTATAATAAATTTTGATTTTTAAATATAATAATAGTTTTTTTGGTAAAATAAATGTAATAGTAGTTACCAAATATATAAAAATTAAAAGCTCAAAATACAAAATTAAAATCATACCAAACAGCTAATGATTTATATTTTGTAATTTGGTGTAATTTAAATTTCAAAATTTAAAACACTTTTTAATTTGATTAATGGCCATAAAAATATATTTTTTGATTAGGATTGTTAAACTGAGTATAGCAGTTTATGAGTTGCTTAAGTTCAATGTTAATTGCAAGCTCGACAAAAAAAAAAAAAATTGAATTTGAAATTGAGTTTCAATAATTAATTTTAAGTTGCTGTGTAAGTATTTAATTTAAAATTTAAAATTATATTATATATATTTTTATTGAATTTAGATATATAATAAATTAAAAATTTAACCAAATTGAAAAGATAAATTAAATAAATTAAATATTTTAAATTATAACTATTAATAAGAATATTTAAATAGAGTTTATAAGTATTTTTTATTGTTTAATTTAATGTGTTTAAACTTTTGATATTATAATACTTTAAAAAATATAAAACAATTTATAATTAAATAAGTAATTATTAAAATATTTTAAAATTATAAAAAAATCAAATTCAAATTAAAGTAATTAGTAAATTCAAATTTCACAACTTCAAACATAACATAAAAAAATCCTTTACAATGGGATGATGGTTACTAAATTATTAAGACATTCTCATGAACTCCATTATTTTAAACTTAATAAATACTTAAATTTGAATATTTAAGTCAAAATTAAGCGTAAATTCCTAAGTACTACTAACAGCCTAATATTGAAGAAATTAATCTAAAAAAGAGAAAATTACATAAAATAGGGAAAATGTACTAAAAGGGTTAAAGCGCGCAGACTGAGGCGGGGAATCTTCCATCGCCTCTTTCACACGAGAGATGGATTGATCAAATCCGAGTTGTACGTTAAAAAATTCAAAATTCACTCGTAGATACAGATCTAGATCCACCCTCCCCTAGAAGAAACCCTGTTGAAGTTTGAAAGTTGCTTCACCGAATCCCACTTCTCCTCAGGTGATTCTCTAAATCTGCATGTAAAGTTCGTTTCTTTGCTTGCTTTCGAATGTAGGGACTTTAGTTCCAAGTAGGATTAACGAAGTCAAAAATGGGTTTAAGATAGAAAAGACAATCTTTGTTCTGAATTGAATCATAATTACCAAAAAGGGGAAATGGGTATGATGAATTATGTGGGAAAAAGACATTAATTTTCATTGGGTTGGAATGAAAAGTACGGATTTTGCAGGTTTTGTTGGGTTTAACGCTGTTACGTTACCATGTCAAGGAGGGCGGTGAATCCTGCTCGACGCTTTGCTGACAGTGGAAGCATCCCTGGAGTGGGTTCAGGGCATTCCAAACCACGCTCATCACCATGGCTGTCTGTTGGGCTTTTAATTCTGGTACTTTCTACTGCTATCCTTCTACGTTTTCCTTGCCTGAATAGCTTTGTGGTAGTATAGTTAGCATTCTTTTATTAACAGTTGATATTCTTTGTATCAGAATTCAGAAAGTATATAGAGGTGACTAAATATATCCAATCAAGTTTCCGTATTCTGTTGGTTATTAGTTTTATTTGCCGAATTTATTTATCCTATAGAGTTACTTTCAACATGAAGAATGGTAGTTGAAGTATTTCGTGAATTTTTCAGGGTTCAGTTCTTCTGATTGGCTATTTGAATAGAGCGTCAGGTTTGTATTATTTCTGTCCTTTTCAAACTTCTCTTCCTTGAGTAGAACAGCTGGTTTATTATGTGGCTTTTAGGCTGTAATTTAGACTAACTGAGATTGAAATGGCGCTATTGGTTGCTTATTTTTTGTTTTATTTTTCTTTATATTTTTAAATTTATCCTTCTTGTTGGATTGCTGTTGCAGGGGTCTTTACCAGGGAAAAAGAGGCTATAAGTAAAGTTGAAGGTAAAGAATTTGAATATCCAATACAATGGTCTAGTACATTGTAATTTGTGAGGTTGTTATGAAAGACACATCTTTATTGGTTTAGTAATATCCACTGAATATTTGAACTTCATAATATGCATTTAAATGCTTTTTTCAAAATTTTGGAAGCTCATTCTTTAACTCTTAAGCTCACATGGAGGATCATTTGCTATTGCTTACCTGTGTTTTTAGATTAGCATTTTAAATAATTTGGTGAAATTTGTTTTGGGGTGACTCTTCAAAGCTATAATTGTCCTAAAGTTCCCATGTCTGCAGTTAAGAGTTTGGCAGCACATTGTTGGAGATTCTGACATTGTTTCTAGTTGGTAAATTCATTGTGACAAGGGAGAACTTGAGGTTGTTGATATTTCCATGTATCATGTGTATGTTATAAGACTGGAGGTGGAGGAACTAGAAGCTCCATAATAAGATAAGCTAAAGGCTACTGGTGAAGCATGCAAATTGTAAATTCTAATA